ACACAAATACTCTTCGCATATACACTTATAAAGTGTCTAAGACTTTGCACTAATCCAATCACTAGATACAGTAAATAACATGAGGCTTCTGTACTGTCAACTGTAAAAACATTTCCAATTGTATGTACCATTTTCCTTGGTTTTAGTTTTTAATTTATGTCTATACGTGTGTATTTAAATCTTGCCTTTTAATTGTTTAGCATAGTGGGGGGCCAACCCTTTTGACAGGCATGCCACAAATTAAGACCTGCATCTCCCCAAGTGCCACCCCAATCCCCTCCCCCTGCTCAATCTGCTGCTCTGTTATCTGCTCCCTGTTCTATCTGCCCGTGTGTAGCCTCCTCCTCCCTGATCTGCCACATGCAGCACACAGATGCTGCCCATGCCAGTTGCAGCACACATGCCGTAGGTCAGCTACCCCTGGTTTAACACAAATGTTATGTAATGCTAGAAGTCTCAAAGTGACTATGTTCTTCTAGGCGTGATCCTCAACCCAAACTCCAGATCTGATTTCCCTTCCCCTCCCTCCCCCAAAAAACGTTGAAATGTAAAATCTAAACCTAGAGAGACAGCCTAATGCCCAAGGGCAGATCCAAGGTTTTGCAAAGAGGGATGTGGGAGCAGTAATTGGCACTGCAGGGGTGGCTACACCCATGGTCCCAGCTCCCCCCCTCCCTGCAGGAAAAGTATCTGAGTTCTTTTTTTAAGTTTCTCACATAATAGTCTTCCTTTCCCCTCCCTTCTCCTCAGGGCTCAGCAACATGCCCTTCCCCCTCTTCTCCAGTTCCCACCCCCACTGTCTACCACTGCCACTGTCCCCAGCTGACTAGGGGCAGCAAAAGGCTTCAGAGCCATCACTGCCCCATTCCAGCTGCACTCTGTGGGGAGCTAGGCTCTGCTAAGGACAGCAGCAGAGGGCAGCAATAGGCAGGTTCCTTCCCCTATGCCTGCTCCCGGGCTGGCAGAAAACATCTGTGGGGAGTAGAAGGAACCTGTCCAACACTGCCCAATACTGTTGCTGTCCTTGGCTGAGCCCAGCTCCCGACGGAGCATGGCTGGACCAGGCAGGAACAGCTACAGAGTTTCCCCTTGCCCCCACTCCTGGGCAGTGGGGACAGCAGCAGCAGTGGGTGGGTTCCTCCTCTCCGCCTAATTCCCTAGATGTTCCCTCATTGTGGTTGCTGTTCCTGAGTCTAGCTCCTCCTAGAGCCCCACCAGGGAGGGGGAAAAGCAGCTCCGAAGCCTCCCCCTGGCTCTGGAGCAGCCAGAGATGATAGTAGTGGTGGGTGGGGAAGAGGAGGGAAGGAGGGGATTTGCTGCTGAGCATCGAGGAGATGTGGAAGGGATTGATATTCTTACCTGACTGGAGAACTTAAAAAAGAAATAAAGTCCACAACAGCTGTTCTCACAGCATCTTCAACTATTGAGGGGGGAGGAGTATACATGTCACTGGACCCCCTCTGCACCCACCATTGCTAATACCTCCTTGCCAAAATGCCTATGCTTCGGGGTGTGTTCAGAAATAAATCCAAATCTGGCAGCTCAAGCACCTCTCTAATTGCATACATATTTTGAAAGCAATAATTATGTATAAGACTGTCTCCCTCTATAAGGTATAAAACTCTTATTTGTTATAAGGCTTGATCCCACTCCCATTATACATATTATACTCTGCAACTAGAATCTACAGTATATGGTTTGGTCATGTTTGGCAATGAACACTCCAACTCTGATTCAACAGCCACTTAGGCACATGCTTATGTGTAGGCATGTGAGCAGTGCTACTTAACAATACAGTACTTCTCACACACTAAAAGTAAAGCAAATGCCTAAATGCTAAATCAGGATCAAAATACTCAGTACATTGCAGGACTGAGCCCATGGAAGTTAAGTTCTACACCAGATATATTGGTGACGCGTGTCTCAAGAATGTGTAGTTATATTAATGAATATTTTGCAATATGATAGAATACCATCAGTTACTGATTCTAGCCTTTTCTTCCTGAGTGACTTACTGGCTATTTCTAAATCCAACCAGTCACCCAAAAGCCATCTTAATAATGCAGTTGGTGTCAGGGGGACTCTTAAAGGAAGACTCATTATACTGGGCAGCATAATCTGCAGTAAGCATAATCAAAGAGGTTGAAATGAAAGGAACATTGACTTGTAAGCCACATGGGCTTGATTTTTGTATTTCAGCTGAAATATTGTCTATATTTTCTATTTAGTCACTTTGTGTTGCTGACAAACAACCCTTCTGAACAGATTCTGGCCTTCCCTCCATCCCCACTTGAACAATAGGATGTCATGTGGGACTAAAGTCTGAAAGATCAAATGAAAAGGGGAAGCGACTACTTACTGGAGATAGTGAAACAAGGCAATTTCTTTTCCTTGTAACTCCTAGCTCTAAATAGTCAGTATCTTCCTGAGAATTGAATAAATGTTTGTCTTCCTCTCTGTAAATGTTGGTGTTTTGTGGTGTTATTTGCTAAATAGCTTATAATGTTTCTGAGAGCCACAACATTGAGGCTGTTTTTTGTTTTCTGTAAATTCCTCCATCTAGTGATAAATCATTCAACGAAAAGACTTGATTGAAATAACACACCAGAAAAACACTGGATTAAAATGTGAACATGATATATACCCCCAAGGGTATGTTTATCTGAACATCAATGCGTTCATCAGACACAAAACTCAGGAGCTGAATGCCAGGTTAACCTATATGTCATTTCTGCTTTGTTTTTTTTACCCTGTCTTTTCTCCACTGAAAAAGTACACCTGAAAGACTGTGCACAACTGCAGAAGCAGCAGACCTTTGGAGCATTCTGGATAATTGACCCTGTTCTGGTGGACAACCATTCTTGGAGGAAATCTGTAAGTCCAAAATTTACTTTTCCTTCTTGCCCAGCAAACTGAGATTGTTGACCTCTAAGCCACAGTACAAATCTCAGCTCTATCCCCAGATATTTATCTGATGGGAGGAAGAAGGGATTGTTCTTTTCCTTTGGCTTGGGTTTTGTTGTCAGTTTGGGGGACAGGTGATTTAGGAGAGATGCTCTTTCATAAGAGCAGACTGATTTTTTGTTCACATCTAAAGAAAGAGTTTGAGACATGGGGAACAGAGTGTATTTCATAACTCAGATACAGATATCTAATGAAATCCTTTCTTGATGCTCCCTACTTTTATTAGTCTAGGCTGATATCCCTGAGAGTTTGAAGACAATGCCAAGACTTTCGATGCTTTTCCCATCCTCACAAACTGCTCACAGCTTTAATTATGCCCCAATGACAACAGAGAAAGTGTATATTTCTGGAATCCCTCTTCTCTATGTTCTCCATCTCCAAAATAAATTAGTTTAAAAGGCACCTCTTCTTATTATTACATTTTTTAAATGTTTGTTTCATATGAAATCGATAAACCCTATCAATCTGTTTCTGGTGGACGTCTTATGTTTCCTGTAAAAACAATTTTGTAATAGATAACACCTTGTCCAGGGGTCTCTGAAATAAGTACACACCTAAGGCATACTTCATAGTTCACAAGAAGAGAAACAAGTATCTGTGCAGATGGTGCACAGGAAAGAATTGACATTGGGGTATTGGAGCCAAGGATGATGGTATGATGAGGTACAGCTACAGTCATTTAACTATACCCTGGTTTTCTCAGCCTCTCAACCTCTTCCCTCCTGGGTTCATTTATTTGTTGATCATATCTAATTTCATTGGTAAGGGGGAAATCCTGAAGTGATCTGCAGTTACCAAAGCTGTCTTGTACAAATATGATCTATAAATTCCCTCCAGAGGCAGCATAGTACTGAAGAGTCTGTGCTACTGCTGGCACAGAGGAAAGTTTCTGTCCACTTACTGTGCAAGAGTTCAGCTGTGAATACACATGGAATTAATTTTTCCTGGCCAGATTAACACGGTTACGGAAACAGAGCCTGTATTTTCAACCCATGTTTCTCAAGTCACCTGGGCTAATGCCTGGCAAGGGGAGCTTCTAAAAATGTTTTTCCAACTATTTAAGTTGGTCTAATAAAAGATATCGGATTCACCCAAAGAACTTTGTCTGGCAAGGGGAGTACATTTCTTTGCCTAGGTTTGTGACATTCACTTTACAATCATGTGCCCTGTTGCTCTGGATTGCTTAAATCAGCTCATCAAGACTTTCAGCCCAAGAGACACACAACCAATCTATATAAACAAAGCTTCCTTTTGCATCCTGTCCTCAGACAGTCCAGTCCAGAGCAGATCACGCTGATACAACATGACAGTGTCCCAGGGATAAAGAGAAGGCTCACACCAGACCCCTGCTAATACTAGACAATATCACAGGAGATCAGAAGAAACCCTTGGCAGCAAGACATTGCTTTGCACAAGAACCAGACAAGCCCAGCTCTATGGGACTCGTCCTGGCAGAGGTTTCGCAAGAGCAGGGGAAGGATTTTCCCTGCTCACCTATGGAGCACCTTCCCTAACACCTTGGGTGTAACAACCCAGAGCTCTCCAGCCTTTCTTGCTCCTAAGACAGATCTGAAATTTTGCAAAACTCCTTAGGAAGTTTTGAGGGATTTTTTTTTGGGGGGGGGTGTTATTTTCTCACTTCCCTTCCTGGGTTAGAGTTGCCCCTTATTTCTTTCTCTTTTTTTGTTTTTATTTCAAGCGGTATCTTTTGTGACTCCATTATTTGAGCCCATCCCCAGCTGGGAAGCAGGTGGGTACAGCTCATCTTGGTCCCACCAAGGCTTAAGCACCCAGTGCCTGGTTAGGAAATGCCTCCTTCCCAGAGGGTTCAGTTTTTAATTTTTTTATTTGGCTGCCTGCCTCTGCTAGAGCTGCCTTTGACCGCCGGCTTCCATCCCCCACCCCCTCGCCCGTGCAGCTGACGGGTGGGGGGGTGGCAATGAAACAGATGAAATGCAACTGGACCCCTCAGCCCAATACAGCACCCCCTCCCCCAGCATCCCCCCCACCCCTGCCCATGCCGGAGTCCCCCTCACCCTTCTGCCGATGCCATGGTCCCCCCTGTCTTCTCAAGGGTCCAAGAGCTTGTGGCGCTCAGTGGGATGCAAATCCTGGACCCCCTCCGGCGTCCGAGGAGTGGCAGCAAATTCCTGGTGTAATCCTCGGGGCTTCGCCAGGCGAGGACCCAGGAGCTGCCTCTTCAGATCTCCCCCAGCATCCTCCCCACCCCAGCCCCCTCCCTCCCTCCCGCCCTCCAGCCCCGCCACCGCCTGTCTCGCCGGAGCCGGGCAGGGGCCGGGCACCTGGGCTTTGATGCCTTGCTTTCTCCTCTCGGTGTGGGGTGGGGGGGGGTGACTTCACATTGACATGGTGTTGGCTGAGGCTGGATTGGAAGGTTTTAGCCTGCGAGCTGCTGGATTTGCAGTCTATCCCTCGCTATTTTAGGCAAGGGCTGACATCACTGGCTGTGGTGGCTCCTATAAATCCCCCCTCAAGCTCTTCGTTACCGGCGGGGGGGTGCAGGCGCCGCGGCAGGGCAAGGCGCTGGGTCCCCTCCCTCCCCCGGCAGCGTCTGCCCTCCTGGCCCCGGCCCCGGCCCTGGTTTCCGCGCATGGACCCGGCCGGGGCAGGGCAAGTCGGCGCCTCCCCCCAGCCCGCAGGG